CTAAAGTAAATTTTTAAGTATTTATTGTGCAATTACATTCAATATGGTAAAAAACACACAAATTATGGTCTTTGGTGTAACTATTTTGAAGATCTACTCAAAGATCTTTAAAAGTTTGATGTGTTCAAGGTTTCCTTGGAAAATTCCAGATGGCTACCTTTGGTTACTCCACATGATTCTAACTTCCTTTTCTGTTAAAAATGTAGTGATGGGTTAATGTCATGACAGCATCCTGAAAATAACTAGGTGCAAGGAGAAAAACCAATAGGAAGCAGATTTCATGATCACTGCAGAGTGATACCAGTGAACTTGCTCATCAGGACATGGAACATGGCTTTCTGACTTAAAAGATGAGAATGACTGAATTCACTTACCCTTCTGTTGTTCTTGCGTTGCATTGCTCTCTGTAACATCATAATAAAATAAGCATTGAATTTCCCCATGAACTGAAGATTCATAGTTTTCTTGTGGCATAAAACAATGTAAAGCGTACCCAAGCACAGTGGCTGCAGCATCTGGGGGAACTGATCACACCTTTTAGAAAGGACTTCTAGTGTAAATAAAATTATTATCATCATTTTCAAGTTTTCTGGCCCCTGGATTTGTATACAGTTTCTGAGCAAAGAAATGTTTTCATTTCTCAATGTTAATGTGCTTGGCAGAATAAAGAGAGAGATTATAAACTGGTTCATACAATTATAGAGGCTGACAAATACTGAGATCTGTCATGGGCAAGCAAGGACCCAGGAGATTTGACATCTCAATTCCAGTCTGAAAGAAAAAACTGATACCCTGCTCAAAGCAGTCAGTCAGGAGGAAATAGTCCTTTGTACTCAGGGGAGAATCAACATTTTTGTTCTATTCAGGCCTTCAACTGATCAAATGAAGCCTATCCACCTTAGAAAGGGCAATTTGCTTTACTCAGTCTATCTGTGTAGTTAAAAGTTGAATTTATCCAAAACACTCTCACAGAAACACCTAGGATGATGTTTGACCAGATTATCAGTATACTCTATGGCCCACTCAAATTGACACACAAAACTAACCATCATGGGATTTTCATTTTGTTGCAGAATTTAAGAGATCTGAGAAACCAATGGGTGAAACAGGAGGATTTATTTAGGTTTCCACCAGATCAGCAGACTCATGTCCAAAGGCTGAGCCCAGAACAAAAAAAGGGCTGTAGTTTTATATATATATTGTGGGGGGGGGGGTAGTCTACCTAATGGCACAAAACTTCTGAACAGAAGCAGAACAAAGGCAGTTAGTCAAGCTCTGACAGTTTTGTAATTTAGCATATCTTGGTGGCTTTGGTTGGGTAAAAACAGGATCTTATGAGAACAGGAGGTTGTGAAACCTTTACAGGGAAAAGGTTGCTAATTTTATTTTTAATGGAACAAACAACAATAGCTGTCTATCGGGAGGGGGAAGTCTAAGGGGGAATTGATTAAGTTGCAGAAACTTGCTTTTCCTTTTTTAAAAGTCCTACTTCATTTTGACAAGTGACTTTGGATACTCAAACTCTTTAGCCTATACTCTATGTCATGGCATCAGTATTTCTACTGTTAAACCTTCTGGAAATCTGATCCACTAGTCAGTGAAATCACTGTTAGAAGCAATATTATGAATATTGTGAATAATGTGATAAGGAAGAATGAAAAGCCCAGGATCTAGAGAATATACAAGAGGCTATGGCAGTGGAAATAGATGTGATGTATTAATTGTGATATGTCAATTTAAGAGGAAGAACCACATAGCAAATTAATAATGTTCTGGGTGTCCCTATGGGTGATTGACAAGTAGGCTACAAACTGAGGAGGGAAGATCCCCCTCCCTCGCCAGATGTGGGTAGCACCGACCAATAGGCTTGTAGCCTAGATGGAATAAAAAGAGAAACAAGGAAGTCTTTCCATTTTCTTCCGAGGAGCTCCAGTCCTTGCCATCACCTCTGACATTAGTCTCCAGTTCCTTTAAGCTTCCAGTGCAGATTCTGTAGCCTTCCAACACAGACTCTTCAGCTTTCTGACACAAACATAAATTCCTGTAATATACAGTTCACCAGAGATATTTTCATGTAGTAAAGATCCAAACACAAAAATTTAGAATCTTTTTACAATGTTTATTCAGTATTTTCTGAATGTAAGAATTATGTTGGCAGCCAGGCATGGTGCTGCACGTCTGTAATCTCAACTCTCTGGGAGGCTGAGGTAGGAGGATTAGAAGCTTGAGCCCAGCCCGGGCAACTTAACTAGACTCTGTCTCAAAGTAAAAAATAAAAGCAATGCAAGCATCCTGGGTTCAATCCCCAGTATTGAAAACAAATTAAAAAGATGTTTTCACTTTAAAGAGATTCATAAAATATCAACAAACCATAGTTTTACTTCTCAAGGGGTTTCTTCTCTATAAGGCAATAGGACTAATATCCCTGATATATCTATATCAGTTATTAAATATAATTAATATCACTTGTGGTAACATTATTTATTTACTTATGATGTGCTATGGCAATGATACCCTACAGCAAACACACAAATGAGGTTGTGACTCTTAGACTCCCTTAAAAGAGGAAGATATACAAGCTATCACCATCATTGTTATGTAATGGGTTTGTAAGATATATACAAAAAGTGGCTATTTGAAAATCAAAGAAAAATTCTGTGTGTATGAGAACAGTGTGTTGGAAGGAGATATTTAGTCCTATGAAACTATAAAGTCTTTATGGCATCTTGCCTTTGGAAATAATCAACATTTATTTTTAGCATATGACAAATTTCTAAATTTTAGGGGTTTTTTAATAATTAATATCATCAGCCAGTTTAATTCATTAGGCATCTAATTGAGGCTAAAAAGTAACTGCTTCAGCTCATCTAATGATGATCTTAGGTTGAGTTTTAAGAATTGTTGTTTAATGCTGATGTCAGTAATTTCATTTCTCCCATTATAAATTTATTTTTTTAAATGGTAAAAGCAAAAGCCATTAAATATCCAGATAACTGCAAAAACACTGCTAAGTAAACACATGCCAACCATGTAGTAGTTCAAAGCACTCATCAGCTGAGGACCAAAGTTTGGATTTTGTAAAACGTAGCATAGGGTAGGAGCATGCACTATGTAAAAGGGCTGATGTTCAAAAGTCTTTATTAGGGAGGACTCAGGATGACTCTATAACCACACCATAAGTCCATGAAGTATTTATACTGGTTGTTGAGATGTATATTCAGGGGACTTGGAGTAATTTTACTGCGATAGGGTAAATCTCTTCCAGCCATGTTTATTCTGAATAACAAGCACATATTTTAATCACATAAAATCACAGCCGTACATAAGCAGAATATAGCTGTCAAAGATGTATCTATGAAAACAATAAAGAATAAATAAAAAGTCTTAACTTAGTGTTAAATCCTAGAAAGACAAATTGCTCAAAGCAGAGCTGTTTCTGGCTGCCTTCTTTCTTAATCCATTGATTCTCAAACCAGGGGCTTTGGGCCAGTTGGGAGTGAGCACTGGAGTACCTGCTCAGAGCAACATGTCCAAAATACGAGCATGTGATTTGAAAAGGCATACTCTAAATCTGTATTGGCTTGACTATGTCATTAGTCACATTATCTAACAGACTTATCAACTTTAAATAAAATTATGGAAGGTGTATTTTACGTTTAGCAAAAAAAGTTTAGATAGTAACAGCTGTTGAGAAATACTGCACTGCTCATATGTAACTATTATCAAACCGTAGCCATTTGGGGGTGTCTTGGATAGAGTTCCATAAAATTTGGTATAGGCAAACTTTATGCAGTATGTTATAGTAATGGCAAGTGTAGCCTATTATTTGGCAAAGAATCTACTTTAAAGATGGTTTTTCCCCATGCTTAAGTAGAAAGGTTATTCAAATCTAACAGGAATCATATACAAGCTTTGGTATAAGGGCAAGATTAGAGAGGACACAAAGATAAGGAATCATCAAATTGATGAGTGCTTTGATTATTTTAGACTAATGGTGTACCATTCTGATATACTCTACACAAAACTGTTCCATATGAGATGGGAGCAGGGAAGGCCTTATTTCCTAAATGCTGAACTATTACCCTTGAGTTAGAGACATTTATAGTTCTATCTTTCCCATTCCCCTTCTGGTTTTCCTCTTATTTTTAAAGTTCTTCCCACACGTGTTACCACCATTTTAAAAATACTCAATCTTATACCCCTTGCCCTTTCTCTCTTCCCAGATACAATACTAGCTCTGCATTTCTTCATTCTTAAGATTCCCTTAGAGACACAAAAATGGAGCCTGTTATCCCTTTTATTTCCTGACAGTTTTCAGCAGAGAAGATCTGTTTGCCGTCATGGTCCTGGCAATGCCCGCCACTCTTCACTTAGCTGGAGGTGGCACACATAAACTACAGACTAGAACAAACAATCCTGACCCCAAACTCATTATGTGCTGCACTTGAGGCTGCATTAGTAAAAACAGATGGTCTGGCTGCAAAGCCACAGATGCCAATCAGGTGCACTGTCAGCAAACACGTTCTCTAATCAGGCCCCTTTCAAATGACATCTGCTTCTCTCTCCCTGTAGGTATAGGTAATGATTCAAAACCTTCTGTGTGTTTCCTATTGCATTTGGGATCTAGCAATCTGCTCACAGAAAACCATTCCCCATGTAAGATGGGCCAGCACAGATAGGCTGAAACAGAAAGGCAAGCAGCGGGGGTGTTAGCTTGCAGTCCTGTGAAATGGCCAGAGATATTTGGCCTTCTGTCTGGGAAGCTGGAATCTGGGAGGGGAGAGTAAAGCAGAAAGAGGCCGCCCCATCAATTTATACAATCTAGTTGCTGCCTCAGTGTTACCTTTTAGCCTTGACCTAAGTTTTTTGAAACTATTGTTCCATGTCTCCTTCAGTGTAGTTAAATCTTCCCTACCCATGAATTGCTGATACAGCCCACTTGATCCTCATCTCTCTGATCCAATCCCAGCACATCCCACAGCTGCTGACCACGATAAACCTAATGGGCAGTGTCAGAGCCATATAAATAAGTTATACTAACTCCCCCTCCCCCAAACATCCCCCACTCCTCAGCATATGTTCTCTTTAAACTACCCAGTCTGTGACCTCTGCAAGGAAGCCTAAGGAGTAAGGCCTGTGGGAGCACCACACTCCTCTCTTGTTCCCTATCCAGTGTTTGAGCTACCTGATCCCCGGCCTACTATCAGCACCCCAACCTCTCTTGGAAATGTAAGTAATATGTTTCTTCTGTTCCATGCAATTTGGTTTTGTCTTCTCACTGTGTTTCACCTGAATGATTCACCCAAACCTAACTTTGTTTGATCTTGGTCCTGACTCAGCTAGAGAGTATCTATCTTAGCTTACTGTCAGTTCTTTACAGAGAAGCCTGGGACCAACTTAGAAAAAAACCTAACAATAAAAATCGCACTGGACTAGAAGAGGGGTTGTTGACTCTGGTGTCCTGGAGGATGGTCTACCAGCCTAAGAAGAATGCAACACTACTGACTAGATGGTAATGAAAAAAGAACATACCCATTCCGGTGCTGTGTAAGAACAGGTAAAGCTAACCTGTGATTATAAAAGTTGGGACAGTAGTGTCTTATATAGAGTAGGGGTGACAGGAAGGGGTATGAAGAGCTTTTGGGGTGACAGAAATGATTTGTATCCTGATATGGTGATGTTTATATGGGCATACAAAGATATCTGAACTCAAATTCGGACAGCTAAGACCTGTGCTGCTTGATGTGTGCAAATGTTACCTTACGGAAAAAAAGACAGGCACTGTTTAAGGCTTATTAAAAGAATTTCATCCCTTTCTGTGGAAAAATGTGGAAAAAGTGATTTTTCTCAGAGCTTTTCCTGTCCACCCTGTAAACACACAACTACACTGTTACAGATTGATGGTTTACTTTGTTTTTTGCATAGCTTTATCAAACTACAAAATACAAATTGCTGATACACTTTTGTTTTCCTCAATAAATTATGGGGGCCAAAAATAAATAAATTAATTAATTAATTAATTATGGGGCCTGGGATTTAGCTCAGTGGTTTTGCTGCCTGCTGCGCAAGCGCAAGGACCCGAGTTCAATCCCCGGTACCAAACAAAAAAAACAAAAATAAATAAAAATAAATTGTAAGCTTTATGAGAGCTAAAATCACCTTTTCTTCAGCATTGTGTATATCTAGCACAATGTCTGACACATAATAGATACATGATAAATATTCATTGAAAGGAAGAGAAATGGAGAAAGAAAGAATGAAAGAGAAAGAAGGAATGAAAAGATAGCAATATCTGTTCTGCCTCCATCCCTCATATGGAAGGCATGCCATTGGTCCCCAGCTCCCAACCTTAGTTCATTTTAGTGGTATGAAGATTTTCACCCTGACTGGGCCACATGGGACCAGATATTAATCACATCAAAAGACTGTACTTAAAACAATACCTTGTATATATAGACACCAGGACAATAACAGTGTAGACAGACATTATGTTTTTGAATCTTGTTAGAAATAATACATTGCCTCTGGTTGATAAGGTTTTATAGGAAACCAGGGACTTGGGCTGAGCACCTGCACTGGGTCCAAAGGACCAAGCCAATACAGTTTAATCATAGTGACTGAATTTCACTTACTGCAGAAGAGGCTGTGGCCAGTTAACTGATTAGGTTGTAAACAACTAGTTAAATTGTAACCAGCTGACAAGGCTATTGCCAATAAATTGTTTTCCATTCCTCATTTCTGTTTTTCTGTAAATGATATCAGATAACAGTGTCAGTTGGAGTTTTCAGAAGCTACTCTGTTTTGGGGAGCTTCCCTGTTCACAAATCATTTTTGCTTTGCTCAGAAATTCTACTGCACGTAATTAACCTAAGAATTTTTTTTTTTTTTTTGTACCAGGGATCAAACTCAAGACCTTACGCCTACAAGGCAGGCAAGAAAACCACTCAGCTAAATCCCCGGCCCTCTAAGGATTTTTTTAAACAGTCGTTTCTTTTAACTTTAATTGATAATTGTACATATTTATGGGTCAGAGGAATGTTTATAATGTAGGGTGATTATATAAGGCTAATTAAAAATATATCATTTCTTATATTTGTCATTCTTTTGTGATGGAACTATTTAAAATCTACTCTTTTTTTTCTTTTCGTTTTGGTACCTGGGATTGAACTTGGGACCTTGCACTTTCAAGGCAGGTGCTGGAACCACTGAGCTAAATCCCTGGCCCTAAAATCTACTCTTTAAAAATTTTGAAATATACAGTCATATTTCACTAGCCAGAGCAAGTCACATGGACAAGACACTAATGATGAAACAGTGACTAATACATGTACAGTAGTAGGAATCTGAATGTTTATAAAGAATTTATACTGACACTAGAAATGTCTTACAGATATTTTCATGTTAAAGAAAAATGGAAGAAAATGTGCTAATATATGAATCATATAAATGCAAATTCATTTTTATAAAGATTTGGAAAATATACACAGGTCAAAATCTTCATGCATCATGTGACATCACAGAGAAATAATGAATTTAAGGTTTAAACCTTCATTTAGAATAACTGAGCCTATGTAAATTTCATGTTTTTCTTTGTTCTTTGCAATGCTGAAGATTAAATCCAGGGCTGAATGCATGCTAAGCAAATAGCCTATCACTGAGCTACATCTCCAGCTCATACGCATGTTTAAAGTATATAATTTGATAAGTTTTGACAGTATAAATGATATGAAACTGTCAACACAATCAAGGTAATGAACATATGCATTACACTCAAAAGTTTCCTCTTGCCTCTGAAAATCTGTTTCTGTAGGACTTTCTCACCCTACCACCATCCACAGGCAACCACAATTGCATGTGTCATTGTAAATTTCTCAGCATTTTCTATAGTTTAAATGGAATCAAACAGGCAAAACATGTCTTTTCTTGGTCTACCTTTTTAAAATTAGTATGATTATTTTAGTGTGATTGTTTTAAAATTCATCCATACTGTTACATGTACAAGTAATTCATTCTGGTTTATTTCTGAGCATTCTTTTCTGTGGGTATGCTACAGTTCATTCATCCATTAATTATTTTTTAATTGTAGATTGAAACATTTGTAATTGTACATATTTATGCAGCTCAAAATGGTACTGTGATTTATGAGTACAACATAACTAATCAACCTAATTAGCATATTCATCTCAAATATTGTGGAGAACATTTCAAATGTTCTCATTTGCAATTTACTTTGGCAATTTTAAATGAATAGTATATTATTTACTATGTTTGCCACACTGAAGTATTTCTCAAAGAAAAACCTTTCAAGGAAAAGCCTCTTGTTTGAGGATTTTTACCCTTTGATTTTCTTCTCTTAACATTCTCAATCTATGGTGAATACATTCTGCCCTATTTTTTGAGGTCAGTTGTTTTAGGTTCTATGTGTAAAAATACAAGGGGTTTTTTTAGTGTCTGGCTTATTTTACTTGGCACAATGTTCTCTAATTCCATTCATATCACAGGTAACATTTTCCTTTTTAAGACTTAATATTCCAGTGTGTATATACCATGTTTTCTTTGTCCATTCATCTTGGGTGGAGACTTAGGTTGATTCCATAGCTTGGCTATTGTGAATAATGGTACCATGAACATAGTGATATAAATAGTGCTTCCATATATAGATTTTAAATTTGGGGGGGTAAATAACTAGTAGTGGGATTCTGGATCATGTGATAATTCTATTTTTCGTTTTTTAAGGAACTTTGATACAGTTTTCATAGTAACTAATTGTTTACAGTTCTACCAAGAGTGTACAAGTTCCCTTTCTTCCCCATCCTCACCAACACTCCTTATATTTTTTTATAATAGCTATTTTGACAAGGGTGAAATAATATTCTGTTGAAATTTTAATATGCAATTTTTTATTGATTAGTAATGCTGAGCTTGTTTATATATTGACAGTTAAGCTAGACTATTAACTTGATTGACCTGAAAGCCACTAGGGGACTTAGTAAAGCACACTTATGGGTGTGTTTGAATGGGTCTTGGAGATGTAACCTTGGGGTCTATATCTGGTCCCTGGTCCCTTTCTCTCTGATGCTGCTCCCTTGTTCTGGTTCCCAGTTACCATGAAGTGGGAAACTGTTTTCACCATGCCTTTTTTTTTGTTTTGTACCAGGGATTAAAATCGGGACCTTGCGCTTTCCAGGCAGGTGCTAGAACCACTGAGCTAAATCCCCAGCCCCTTCACCATGCCTTTCTGCTATGATGTTCCTGCCTTGGAGCCAGATGACCAGGGAGTAAACCCCTGAAATCGTGAGGTATAATAAACCTTTCTTCCTTTAAACTATAGGTGTTGGATACTCTGTGCCAGCAACAGGATGTGTGTGTGTGTGTGTGTGTGTGTGTATTCTAATCTTAGCCATTTGAATTTGTTTTAAGAAATGTTTCTGTAAATATCTTGTCCATTTTTAATCAGATTAGTTTTAATTTACTTATATACTTTGAATATTAATAATATTTGAGTGTAATTTGAATATATATAATTTGAACATTAAGCCCTTATCAGATTATGGCTTGCAATTATTTTTCTCTTCATTGTGTCAATTATTTCCTTTGCTGTGTAGCAGCTTTTTATTTTGCTATAATCTCACTTGTCAGTTTCTATTTTTGTTGATTGTACTTTGGGATCAAATTTTAAAAAATCATTGCCCAGACCAATGTCATCTAGTTTTTCCTCATTTTCTCTTTTAATCACTTGATAATTTCAGGTCTTTTATTTGACTGATTTATTTTGAGTTCGTTTTTAAATATGGAATAAGATTAGATCTAATTTTACTTTTTGCGTATGGATATCCAGTTACTCCAACATTTTTTGAAGTGAATTTTCTTTTCTGCAGTGTTTACACTGTGTTCTTTTGTCAAAAATCAACTGAGTGTGCATTTGTGGATTCATTTTTAGCCTATTTTGTTCCATTTTGGGAGGCATGTTTTTATGCCAGTACTGTGCTGTTTTAATTACTTTGTTTTGTTGTTTAGTTTGAAATGAAGAAGTGTGATTCCTCTGCTTTGTCTTTTGCATTAATGATTGCCTTGGCTGTGTGTGTGTGTGTGGTTCCTCACGCTTCAAGAGTTTTAAAAAATATTTCTTTACAAAGTGACATCGGAATTTTGATTATATGGAATCTATAGATCACTTCTGTTAGTGTGAACATTTCAACAATATTATTTCAGTCCATGAACCTGGGATGTCTTTATATTTTCAGTTTCTTTCTTTAAAGTTTTATAGTTTCAATATACAAGACTTTCACTCCTTTGGTTAAATTTATTCCCAAGTATCCTCTATTTATTACTTCAGACACTGTCATTATTTCCATTTTGTGCTTATAGAAGAACTGCCATGACAATTTGAATACAAGTTTTTGTGTGCACATCCACATTCATTTCTTTTGGGTAAATAACTAGGAGGGGAATGATTAGATATATTATAAGGTTATATTGACATTCTTTTTTTTTTTTTTTTTTTTTTTAGGTATCGGAGATTGAACTCGGGTCCTTGTGCTTGCGCAGCAGGCAGCGAAACCACTGAGCTAAATCCCCGGCCCTATAAGCTTATATTGAACTTGGTAAGAAAAAACTATTTTCCAAAGTGGTTGTACTGTTTATGTTATACATATGTTATACATTATTTACATTTTCCATAACAGTTTATAGGAACTACAGGTACTCTCTATCCTCAAAATTTTTGGTCAGTTTAAATTGAGACATTTTAACATATGATTATTTTAATTTCATCATCTTCAATACCTAAGATGCTGAGCATCTTTCCAGATGTACTATTTGCCATTTGTTCATCTTAGTGAATGGAATACCTTCACCAAAAAACATGATTAAAAGAAGATCTATAGTATGTTTTGTGATGAATTTCTAACAATATACCCATAATTTAGATAAATTACTTAACATCTGCTGTAGTAAATACAGCTCACTCAGAAAAATCTATTTAACATGCTTGATGTCATTACAGAAAAATGTATTATTCCTGTGAGAGACTTATTCTCTATAGATTCCAGGGTTATGTCCTACAGTTGTTTGTAGACATACTTCAAAGTTATGACTCAAATGCATGTTTTTCAGTTCTAAATAATTTCTTGGTGGGTTTTTTTTAAAATTCTTTATCTTGACCATTTCAAAAGGCAACATTCTTGGAAGCTGATAAAGGCAACTTCTGCTTTAGCTATTCTGCAAGGAAGAGTCATTATTTCCTCTTTCTCAAAAACGGCCTTAGCTTTCTTAAGGTAGCACTACCAGTTTTTAGGCTGCCTGAAAGGCACTGGATGGTGGTAGGGGAGAAAGGGACTTCAACAGTTCACACATAAGCCCCTCTTGTGGTAGATGAAAAGTTAAAAAGGTCCACAGACACAAGGCCTAAAAAGGCTTAACTGTGACAGGATTTACTAGTGACAGGTCAGCAGAGGGTTGCATCAGAAATTACCTTTACCTGGAGCATTCAAAACTTGGTTTTTGGGTTTGATCCTATAATGCTAACAGGCAAACCAAAATGCGGAAAGTTAAGGTTAGGTAGATCTGTCCCGTAGGTCTTGCTCAAATGCCAAGTATATCACTTAGAATCTGCCAACATCAATAATTAGCTATATACAGTATTCTCTTAACCCTTTCTCACACACCTGCTGAAGATTGCTAGAACTCTTAATTCACTTAAACATCTTATTCTGTCTTTCACTTGCTGATTTGCTTTGTTTGACACTCGCAGTTTAGAAACAAGCCAGTGTTATATACTTGACCATTCATACCCTCATTGAAGAATCAGACTGTGAATCAGACCAAAAAACTCAGACTTCAAAATAAGATGGTCAGGGTTCAAGTTTTAGATTGTTTTGAAATGTATCTCTATGTCCTCTGATACAACCTAAGCCTCAATTTCCCCGCCTGTCATATGGAGATAATAAAATCACACTGCAAAAACTTGTAGTAAGGGTGAAAGGCAATAACAGAAAAACTGAACACACAGTGTTGCTGTCAGCTGTATGACAGAGGGTAATCGATTTAAGACAGGTGTGGGTAAGATATGTGACTGAGATAATAGATAAGGTTAGAGCTGCAGCCCCACACACTTTTGTCAGATAGAGTAGAGGTAAAGGAAATATATTTGATAGGATATTTCTTTTGGAATCCAGTAAAGCGGGTGATAGAGAGGATAGATGAAGTAAGAAATCAAAACGAGAAGAGCTTTGAACACAGAAAAAGTTACATACGCAACAGGAAGTCACCAGAGAGTTCTAACTGTGAAAATGATGTGATAATAGAAAGTTCAAGCAGATGACCTATAGGAAATTAGCATAAGAATTGAATAAGGTAAAAAAGATTGAACCAAAATGAGAAATGTGGTGTCACAGAAGGCAATAAAGCTGGGGAGGAATGATGGATTATAGCCTGACTGTGGGCATGAATCCTTCTGATTCATCTGAATTTGCTGATGGTTGGCAAACTGTAGGCATTTAACCAATTTTTGAAGAAGAGAAACAAAAATAAATTAAAAAATACCTAGAAGTAGTAACAAGTGTGAACTATAGCAAGGGATAGTTCAAAATTAGAATGAATGTCTTCCTGCATACTAGAAAAGGAAAAAAATCAACTTTATACATCAATCAAGGCTTAAAATAAGTGTTTATATCCACACTTTCACTAAATACAAAATGATTTCTTTGTTTTGTTTTGTTTTGTTTCTTGGTACCCGGGATCAAACTCAGGTCCCTGTGCTTGCGGGGCAGGCGGTGGAACCACTGAGCTAAATCCCTGACCCCAAAATGATTTCTAATAATCAGAAAAAGTCTTATAAATGTCAGTTTAAAAGTTGTCCCTAACAAAAACCAAAATAAAAATAAATAATTCCCCCTAAAAACTGTACATTGACTTCTATTATACTTTTCAGACAGTATCAGAGCCACCTGATCCTAGACAGCCTGGTGGAATGCAACATCACCAATTTTATGCCCCATTCTAACTCACCAAGGCCAGACCAAAGGAGTAATAGGAGTTGTGTCTTCTGGTGGAGTTTATTTCCAGCCAGTGCGCCTCAGATGGCAGCATCAGACAGTGGGAAGGCTCTAGGTCTTAGGGTCAGAAAGACCTACTACTACAGCTTGACTAAGTCATTTGTTTTCCTCCTTATTACTGCAAGAACCCAATAGGATGAGTGCGTGAGACAAGTGACAGTCACCAATATTGGTTATATCACTTCTGCACACCTGGTCCCACTCTATATGTTCTCCACATGCAAACTCGTGGTTCTGTGAAGAGCTGCCATTTTCCATTCTACATAAGATATGCTTCATAATAAATAACAAAAGCTTAACTAATACCTCTGATTATTTGTTTCATAACCCTTACTCTTTAGAATGGGTAGCTTTTTAATTTTTCTGTTGTTCATCACATCCCCATAGTCTACCATTCTCCAAGTTAAGTGAAAATTGGGACAGAAGATACATACATCTCATAATTGCTTCAGTACAGGACTTTAATAACTAAAACAAAGGAATAGAAAATTAAATATCCTAAAGCATCCTATATCTCTTCAATGGTTATTGTAGAGTCTATTGTCCTTTAATCTCCTCAAAAAGATGTAAGGCTCAGAGATTTGTGTGTGTGTGTGTGTGTGTGTGTGTGTTTAAAGAATATTTTACTATTAAAATGTAGAATTAGGACAGATTATCTGAAAAATGACCTCAAGAGCACATGGGATACAGAGACCAGATGATACCAGCATGGACTTTTTTAAGGGATGACCTTGGAGTAGTTAGCTACAGGTGAGCAATAGAGGGAAAGGGGGATTAGTTGGCAGTGTATGCTCACACACACCTGCAGGAAGACTTTCCTGGAAAAACAAAAACTCTGTGGAGTCTGCTCCAGGCATGGTAGGAGAAGATAATAATAATCTTGGAGAGATAAATAGCTGCCACCAAGCAGCGTCAGAGGTCAAGGGGTCTCTCAGGTCAGGAACCAGGATCCTACCTGCTCTTTGGTGAGTATTTGTGGTCTGAGGATGATGTTTATGTGTAATTTAAACACCACAGATTTGACCCTGAAACTTCCTAAAATCTTGAGTTTGTGCCTTTAATTCAGAGGAGCCAGGGTATCCACTGCAGCATCCACACTTTCCGTGAAAGAGATCTTGGCACTTTATAGCAATTCATATCCGACCAAGGTATCAGGGACAGAGAAGGACAGAAAGAGATATGCAACAATCCACTTGAAATGTAGTGTGTTGCCCCAAGAGGGATTTCTCTACTGGATAAGCTTCTTGCCGCATGTTTTCTCTGCTGTTTCTGTCTTGTTTCTGAAGACTGCACCTGTATCCTAAAGAGGATGCCATCCCCCATACCAAGACAAACTGCCCTCACCAAGAGTGGGTTCTCAGCCCTTGGGTAACAGAGAAAACATGCATCATATGGGCCTTGCCCTCTAAATGGTAGAGTCACCCCGTAAAAAGGAGCACTTGACTAGGAGTAAGAAGGTCTGAATTCCAGATTGCATTCTGATCCTAAGACCTATAAATTGGCTTGGAACCATTCATTCAGTGTCTTCAAATCTCAGTTTTCTCACCCTAAAGGTCCAATTATTTAAATTTGCCTCCTAGGGCCGGGGATTTAGCTCAGTGGTTCTGCCACCTGACCCGCAAGTGCAAGGGCCCGAGTTCGATCCCTGGTAGCAATAAATAAATAATAAAATAAAATTTGCCTCCTAGATTGTAGTAAGAAACTCAATATTAATAGCCATCATATGTATAGAATTTTTATTTTAAGTGATATATACATCATTTGAGCCTTATTCAACCCTATCTTATTGGACCTACAGATTGAAAATCCTTAGTATAAAAATCCAAACTAAAACTTTTTGAGCATGGACTTGATGGCAGAAGTAGAACATTTGACATTTGAACCCATGTTACAAGTCTTAATCAAAATGTAAATGCCACCTGGACGTGGAGGCACACCCCTCTGATCCAAACACTGGGCAGCTAAGGCCAGAAGAGGGCAGGTTTGAGCTCAGCCTGGGAACTTAGCAACTTAGTGATACCCTGCACCAAAATAAGTGTGGGGTGGGGGTGGTGATGGGGATACAGCTCAGTGCCAAAGGTTCAATTTACAGTATAAAAGAAAAAAATGCAAGTGCATTAGAATGTATAAAATTACCTTTGAACTATGTGTATAAAGTGTATATGAAACATAAATGAATTTGATGTTTAGACCCGGGTCTTATCCCCATGATATTAATACATAAAAATATTCCAAAATAAAGAAAAAAATCCTAAAATGCTTCTAGACCCAAGCATTTTAAAGCATGGATACACAACCTGTATTATTATCCCAATGTATAGCTAAATAAAGGCACATAGTAGATTAGCACTATGTACACAGTTACAAGCACATAAGGGGAAGCAGTTGGACTTAAATCAAGACTATATGCCTTCCAAGTGAGTCTAACCATTGAAAACAGTGAAACACTATGCAAATGAGGTACCACTCTTCCTACAAATGGGGGGCAGGGAGTGAGTGGACAGTAAACCATTGGGTATGTTCCAGCTAGTATGAGTTGACAGGGTAGA